GTATGTTGCTTTTGAAAGATATGGGAAAATTTCTCATGATGTATGCAATTTTATTCAACTGATCACAAAATTAGATTTAAGGACACATAGACCTACTGGAGGCGGATTGTGAGCTTTCTTCCTCGACGCTCTTTGCTCCCACTGAGGTTTGGGGCATGGTTGCTGAACTTTCATATTCCTTGTCGACTTCTGTAAATGAGACAGTTATTAATTGATGTTATTTGCAAATGATATATATATATATATACTATATATATATATATATATATATATATATATATATATATATATATATATATATATATATATATATATATATATATATATATATAATGTCGTACCTAGTAGCCAGAACGCACTTCTCACTACTACAAGGCCCGATTTGCCTAATAAGCCAAGTTTTCATGAATTAATGTTTTTCGACTACCTAACCGACTACCTAACCTAACCTAACTTTTTCGGCTACCTAACCCAACCTAACCTATAAAGATAGGTTAGGTTAGGTTAGGTAGGGTTGGTTAGGTTCGGTCATATATCTACGTTAATTTTAACTACAATAAAAAAAAATTGACATCATACATAATGAAATGGGTAGCTTTATCATTTCATAAGAAAAAAAAAATTAGAGAAAATATATTAATTCAGGAAAACTTGGCTTATTAGGCTAATCGGGCCTTGCATAGTAGGCTGAGAAGTGCGTTCTGGCTACTAGGTACGACATATATATATATATATATATATATATATATATATATATATATATATATATATATATATATATATATATATATATATATATATGTATATATATATATACTTATAGCCTACTATATGGCTGAAAACTCATAAGCCCATGAATTAAGTGACTCGAACCCATACTGCCAGGAGCAACAACTGGTATCTACAGGATGCCTTAATCCGCTTGACCTATCACGATAGGTTATAAGAAAGTGATAGCGGAAGCTATTTGAACCACTATCCCCGTTAATTTTAATTCAGATGGTAATCTTGGGCATAGCATTGGGTATCAAATCACCTCATTCTTTGGTTAGGGCACACTTTTTAGGTAGTTCAAGGCGAATTTGCATGAAAACGCTTCAAGCATTCTCTATTTTTCACATGTGGTTATTCTGCATACTTGGATCAGTATATATATATATATATATATATATATATATATATATATATATATATATATATATATATATATATATATATATATATATATATGTCGTACCTAGTAGCCAGAACGCACTTCTCAGCCTACTATGCAAGGCCCGATTTGCCTAATAAGCCAAGTTTTCCTGAATTAATATATTTTCTCTAATTTTTTCTTATGAAATGATAAAGCTACCCATTTCATTATGTATGAGTTCAATTTTTTTTTATTGGAGTTAAAATTAACGTAGATATATGACCGAACCTAACCAACCCTACCTAACCTAACCTAACCTATCTTTATAGGTTAGGTTCGGTTAGGTAGCCAAAAAAGTTATTTTAGGTTAGGTTAGGTAGGTTAGGTAGTCGAAAAACAATTAATTCATGAAAACTTGGCTTATTAGGCAAATCGGGCCTTGCATAGTAGGCTGAGAAGTGTGTTCTGGCTACTAGGTACGACATATATATATATATATATATATATATATATATATATATATATATATATATATATATATATATATATATATATATATATATATATATATATATAATATTGCGGAAAATCCTCAGAGAAATATAAAATAGGAGGTGTATACCTATCAATAGGTTAGGTTATATATATATATATATATATATATATATATATATATATATATATATATATATATATATATATATATATATATATATATATATATATATATATATATATATATATAGTCTTTATATATAGACATATATTATTTAATATGACCGAAAAAGTAAGATTAATAATTCTAACACGGATTTTCTCGATCTTTCTTATGTTTCTTTTCACTGTTGATGGTAATTGAAAAATCAATTCTCCAAAATTCATTTTTATTTCTAGTCTGACGCGACACTTGAACGCGTTTCGTAATAACTTATTACATTTTCAAAGACTTTTAGTTTACACACACACAACTATTACCTGCAAACACTAAACAGAGTTCTTACTTATGCTATGATTTAAACAGCTTTCATTTTTCATTTTATACCCGCATTTTGGGTGAGGTGATATGTTACAACAGTTTTGGATGAGGTGAACAAAACTTTCAACACAGGATAGAACACGAAACAATGGGTATTGAAGGTAAGAATGGAAGTAATTGCAGAGGGCCTATTGGCCCATATTTCTTGATGCTTCTATATTGGAGCGGAGTCTTGAAGTGGGTAGAATATAGTTGTGCATTAATTGGCTGTTGATTGCTGGTGTTGACTTCTTGATGTGTAGTGCCTCGCAGATGTCAAGCCGCCTGCTATCGCTGTATCTATCGATGATTTCTGTGTTGTTTGCTAAGATTTCTCTGGTGATGGTTTGGTTGTGGGAAGAGATTATATGTTCCTTAATGGAGCCCTGTTGCTTATGCATCGTTAATCGCCTGGAAAGAGATGTTGTTGTCTTGCCTATATACTGAGTTTTTTGAGGCTTACAGTCCCCAAGAGGGCATTTGAAGGCATAGACGACGTTGGTCTCTTTTAAAGCGTTCTGCTTTGTGTCTGGAGAGTTTCTCATGAGTAGGCTGGCCGTTTTTTTGGTTTTATAGTAAATCGTCAGTTGTATCTTCTGATTTTTGTCTGTAGGGATAACGTTTCTATTAACAATATCTTTCAGGACCCTTTCCTCCGTTTTATGAGCTGTGGAAAAGAAGTTCCTGTAAAATAGTCTAATAGGGGGTATAGGTGTTGTGTTAGTTGTCTCTTCAGAGGTTGCATGGCGTTTCACTTTCCTTCTTATGATGTCTTCAACGAAACCATTGGAGAAGCCGTTGTTGACTAGGACCTGCCTTACCCTACAGAGTTCTTCGTCGACTTGCTTCCATCCTGAGCTGTGGCTGAGAGCACGGTCGACATAAGCGTTAACAACACTCCTCTTGTACCTGTCTGGGCAGTCACTGTTGGCATTTAGGCACATTCCTATGTTTGTTTCCTTAGTGTAGACTGCAGTGTGGAAACCTCCGCTCCTTTCCATGACTGTTACATCTAGAAAGGGCAGCTTCCCATCCTTCTCCATCTCGTAAGTGAAACGCAACACAGAATTCTGCTCAAATGCCTCCTTCAGCTCCTGCAGATGTCTGACATCAGGTACCTGTGTAAAAATGTCGTCAACATACCTGCAGTATATGGCCGGTTTCAAGTTCATGTCGACTAAGACTTTTTGCTCGATGGTACCCATGTAGAAGTTCGCAAACAGGACACCTAGGGGAGAACCCATGGCGACCCCATCTACTTGCTTATACATGTGCCCATCCGGGCTCAAGAAGGGTGCCTCTTTAGTACAAGCTTGGAGTAGTTTCCTTAGAATGTTTTCTGGTATGTCAAGAGGAGTACAGGCCGGATCACGATACACTCTGTCCGCTATCATCCCGATTGTTTCATCCACAGGTACGTTGGTAAACAGTGATTCTACGTCCAACGAGGCTCTTATCCCTGTGGCCCGTGTTCCCCGCAGTAAGTCAACAAATTCCTTTGGAGACTTCAGGCTGAAGGCGCAAGGGACATAAGGAGTCAGCAAGCCGTTGAGTCGTTTCGCCAGTCTGTACGTGGGTGTGGGTATCTGGCTGATGATTGGCCGAAGTGGGTTTCCAGGCTTATGTGTCTTGACATTTCCATATGCGTATCCAGGTTTATATTCCCCAATAATCTTTGGCAGGTGGAGTCCGGATTTCTTGGCGTTCACAGTTTCGATCAATTTGTTGACCTTTGCTTTCAATTCGGCTGTAGTGTCCTTCGTTACCCTTTGGAATTTAGTTTGGTCAGAGAGTATGAGGTTCATTTTCGCCAGATATTCGTCTTTTTTAAGAATGACGTATATTGGCGACTTGTCACCTCTCCTGACAACTATCTCCTTGTTCTCACGAAGGCTCTTAGCTGCCGCTTTGAGCTCGGGGGACAGTATGGTGCTTCTGTAGTTGCCTCGATTCTTTCCTCCTTCCGCAATAAGTTCTGCTTGTAAGGTGTCTTTGGTGGTGACCTTCTTTTGTGTCTCGAGGTCGAATATGTCGTCCAACAGAATCTCCAACTCCACTTTCTGGGCCATCTCACTTGGTCTGGACATAACGTGACAGTTTATACCCAGATTTAGGAGAGTGACTTGGTCCTCAGTGAGGTTGATTCCAGCAAGGTTTAGAAAGCCGTCTCTTGGTCGTGGAATTGCCATAGGTCCTCCATATAACGTTGCTAGTTTCTTGATTATCCTTGTTTCAGTGCTGAGGTGATGTCGGTCTGTCAGGATGTCGAAGTGTTGCTCGATGCGAGTACGGAGACTTTCGTCGATGTTGCTGTTTCTCCACTCGTTTGTAGCATGAAGTAGTTGCGTTTTGTTGTCTTTGATTTCATTTTCTGCCTTGTATATCTGATTACGAATCAGATCTTGGCGATATTTTATCGTGAAGGCTTGATTCCTTGCTGCTGGGTCGTGCGTTTTAATATTAGGATATTTTGGTAGCAGTCTTTCCTGTAGACACATATTATTAAATATGACCGAAAAAGTAAGATTAATAATTCTAACACGAATTTTCTCGATCTTTCTTATGTTTCCTTTTACTGTTGATGGTAATTGAAGAATTGATTTTTCAATTTCCATCAACTGTTGATGGTAATTGAAGAATAGATTTTTCAGAAGATATAACTGACGATTTAATACAATTGACAAAAATCAGAAGATACAACTGACGATTTACTATAAAATTTTCAAAACTTTAGCCTACTCATGAGAAACTCTCCAGACACAAAGCAGAACGCTTTAAAAGAGACCAACGTCGTCTATGCCTTCAAATGCCCTCTTGGGGACTGTAAGCCTCAAAAAACCCAGTATATAGGCAAGACAACAACATCTCTTTCCAGGCGTTTAATGATGCATAAGCAACAGGGCTCCATTAAGGAACATATAATCTCTTCCCACAAACAAACCATCACCAGAGAAATCTTAGCAAACAACACAGAAATCATCGATAGATACAGCGATAGCAGGCGGCTTGACGTCTGCGAGGCACTACACATCAAGAAGTCAACACCAGCAATCAACAGCCAATTAATGCACAACTATATTCTACCCACTTCAAGACTCCGCTCCAATATAGAAGCATCAAGAAATATGGGCCAATAGGCCCTCTGCAATTACTTCCATTCTTACCAATACCCATTGTTTCGTGTTCTGTCTGTGTTTGAATTTAATACCCATTCAATACCCATTGTTGAAAGTTTGTTTTCACCTCATCCACCTCACCCAAATGTAGCGCTTTCTCCCCACTATAACTCGAGGTAATCCAGCTCCACAACCCTTTGCACACCTTGTGCTTCACGGAAGTCACCTGGTCACACTACTTGCATCCACCAAGTGTATATGGGTGGCTAGGTCAGCTGTAATTCCTCATACTCATATTCCCAGCATAATCACGATGCTGGCAGTAGTAAGATGGGGGTTCAGCAACTTGTTTTTGAAATACGGCTTCTTGTCCAGTCGGACTCATACATACAATTTCCAGGACTGGCCACCTTCGTCACAGCTTCTACAACTTATGCTCCAGTCATGCCTTCTTGTTCTGCAGTGATGGAAGTGCCGTGCGGGGAACATGCAAATGCTTCCCACGCTTGCTGCTGATGATAAACGCCTCTAGTCACACCTGGCGTGCCCTTGTACTGCAGCTTCTGTATAACTCCTGATAACCGGCCGTTAACTGCAGGTGTACTAGTGACGCAATGAAACACCCCCAGTCCCTCACCGTGCCTGCTCTCCGCAGTATTGACTACCTCTCTCCATGAGACTACCACTACTAACTTAATGTTTGTGACACGTAGCTCGACCGAAGACTACCACTGGTAACACTTCACTAGAACTGGCTCTGTTCACTTGGGCCACTTCACTGCCCAATATAAAATTGTAAATGTTACTGGAGAGTAGTCGTAAGCACTTCACTGGTCACAAGTAATATCTCCTTGAGTAATGGACTGCACTATGCTCACATTGTCGCTCACTGGGTCACTCCTTCATGCAAGGACCTATTGTACTGCTTACCTCAGAACGTACCAGTCTTCCTTGGCTTGAACTGTTCTTAGGAAATATTCAACCATTCCGGTCAGCTTAGGAGCAAAACAATGACCTTTCACAAACTTTCTGCTCAGCCGGGAGGATACTGTTCGAACTTAGTCCTAGACTGTTACTTGTTTCCGTGAATTTTCTTGTGTAACATCGAGTAACATTTCCCTGAGGCAAGTTATGCTGCCTCTTGAAACATCTCCCAAAGGCAAGTTAATCTGCCTCTTGTAACATGTCCTTGTAGTTTCCAGTGCTCAACAATGCCTCGACCTAACGTGCAACTAAATTTTGTGAGATTTAGGAGCATCGTATGCGGGAATCCGTCCACCATGGCATTCCGATGCTCAGTGAAGCCTTGACGGTAAATGAGAGGTCACGAGGCTCGTTCTTACTGATGTCGTGACCATGGGTTATCTTTCGATTGGTTATTTCAAGCAACTTGCAACCAATCATTCGTTTTCTTATTCTGGTCGCAGCGTCCTCGCCTCTGCTTCACTACCCACCAACTTCTCACGCAGCGCTGCAACTGCCATCTTGGAGAATGATCACAAGGAAATAACCTTTGGTCAATTTAAATTTCTCCAAAATGCTACAACTCACGGCTTTCCTGTAGCAACCAAAATATTTTCTTGGCTGTCTAGTATATAGAAGAAGATGGGAAAATGACTCATGAAATCGGGAAATGTACTATACGAGCCAGCAATTATAACAGTATTACAATGATTATTAAATAAATTCCTTAACAAAAACCCATTTCTTTAGATAATTAAAGAAAAGTAACTGTGGATTTTACTGTGGATCAAAGAAAGATTAGATAATTAAGAGCAACCATCAACGTGATATCTAATTTATCAGAACAAAAATACGGAAAATCACAATAATAAATTATTGCAAAAACAAAACAAAACAGAGAGCATTAAAAAAAGACAGAGTAAACATACAAATATTACACAGGGCATCATAATTCTTTGACTGGCAAAATCATTTGGCAAAAATCCAAAAATTAATCCTAATACCATTATGCACATGCCACGTAATCATTTTTCAAACTGACAAAATATAGGAGAAACTCCGCCCCTCAGATGGAACCGAGATCAAGAATAAACGAAAATCATCGAAAAGAAAAAACACATACATTTTACATAACAAAACTTTTTCCCCAAGTATATATTTGAAGTCATTAAACCTCTGACAATTGGCTATTTGATATGGAGTCCATACTTAATTAATTAAACAATTAAAGAAACTTACCAGCATTAAGGTGCGGGATGCCAGCTGCTAGCAAGGAAGCAGTTGCTACCAGGTACACTACGCTTTGCTGCAATCACAATATGTACACATTATTACACTCACTTAAATATAATATATATATATATATATATATATATATATATATATATATATATATATATATATATATATATATATATATATATATATATATATATATATATATGAATAATATCATATAGTCCTATATCGCATATATATATATATATATATATATATATATATATATATATATATATATATATATATATATATATATATATATATATATATATATATATATATATATATATATATATATATGTCGTACCTAGTAGCCAGAACTCACTTCTCAGCCTACTATGCAAGGCCCGATTTGCCTAATAAGCCAAGTTTTCATGAATTAATTGTTTTTCGACTACCTAACCTACCTAACCTAACCTAACTTACCTTTTTCAGCTACCTAACCTAACCTAACCTATAAAGATAGGTTAGGTTAGGTTAGGTAGGGTTGATTAGGTTCGGTCATATATCTACGTTAATTTTAACACCAATAAAAAAAATTGACCTCATACATAATGAAATGGCTAGCTTTATCATTTCATAAGAAAAAAATAGAGAAAATATATTATTTCAGGAAAACTTGGCTTATTAGGCAAATCGGGCCTTGCATAGTAGGCTGAGAAGTGCGTTCTGGCTACTAGGTACGACATATATATATATATATATATATATATATATATATATATATATATATATATATATGTCGTACCTAGTAGCCAGAACGCACTTCTCAGCCTACTATGCAAGGCCCGATTTGCCTAATAAGCCAAGTTTTCATGAATTAATTGTTTTTCGACTACCTAACCTAACCTAACCTAACTTTTTCGGCTACCTAACCTAACCTAACCTATAAAGATAGGTTAGGTTAGGTTAGGTAGGGTTGGTTAGGTTCGGTCATATATCTACGTTAATTTTAACTCCAATAAAAAAAAATTGACCTCATACATAATGAAACGGGCAGTTTTATCATTTCATAAGAAAAAAATTTGAGAAAATATATTAATTCAAGAAAACTTGGCTTATTAGGCAAATCGGGCCTTGAATAGTAGGCTGAGAAGTGCGTTCTGGCTACTAAGTACGACATATATATATATATATATATATTATATATATATATATATATATATATAAATATGTATATATATATATATATTTATGATCGATGTTCCCTTCGGGAATCTTAATTTTAAGATGAATAGGAAAACCAGGGATATACTGAACATCTTGTTTCAGATTCTTTACTTTAAAATGCATAACGTTTCGAGTACTTCTCGTATTCATCATCAGATCTAAAAGAAAAAACAGAAATCACAATCAAATAACTGGTAAACAAAGAACTAATACTGAATATAATTGCCTATCAAAGACAGGAAAATGCTTAAAAAAACAAAACACTTAGGCTTACTTAAAGTGATCAATACAAATAAAACTTATTAACTGTCACATAGATAAAAGCTAATTTAAAAATCCATTAAATAACAAGAGGAAAATTATAACTACTAAACCAAACCATTCTATTAAACTTACGCGAAGTGATCAGAAGTGAAATTTGGTAGCCAACACATAGATACTAAACACTATAACAAATATTCTTATAATGACTACAAATCTACAAAAAATGTATATAAAATGCAAACAGAATAAACGACAATTATAAAGTACTAACCCAAATCTTATAAAAACTCAAATATTAAATAAAACTAAATACCAAAAAATGTATTATATATCCTAAATAAAAGATTATTATAATGTACAATGTCAAGACTTGAATTAAGTAAGAAAAGGCAAAGATATGGTAAACTAAACAAAATTATAATAAATTAAACTACCAGAATGAACTATAAATCAAATTACAGGTCCTACTGTGCCCTATACAGTGTACAATTGAACAGCTGAAAGGTTGCTATTTAACAGAGGCCGCAGCTCCTTTATATATAAGGATTCCATTACTCTCAAATCTGACTGGCCATTTGAGAGTAATGGAATCATTATATATAAAGGAGCTGCGGCCTCTGTTAAATAACATCCTTTAGCTGTTCAATTGTACACTGTATAGTGCACAGTAGGAAATGTAATTTGATTTATAGTTCATTCTGGTAGTTTAATTTATTATAATTTTGTTTAGTTTATCATGTCTGCCTTTTCTTACTTATTTCAAGTCTTGACATTGTACATTATTATAATCTTTTATTTAGGATATATAATACATTTTTTGGTATTTAGTTTTATTTAATATTTGAGTTTTTATAAGATTTGGGTTAGTACTTTATAATTGTCGTTTATTCTGTTTGCATTTTATATACTTTTTTGTAGATTTGTAGTCATTATAGGAATATTTGTTATAGTGTTTAGTATCTATGTGTTGGCTACCAAATTTCACTTCTGATCACTTCGCGTAAGTTTAATAGAATGGTTTGTTTTAGTAGTTATAAAATTCCTCTTGTAATTTAATGGATTTTTAAATTAGCTTTTATCTATGTGACAGTTAATAAGTTTTATTTGTATTGATCACTTTAAATAAGCTTTAGTGTTTTGTTTTTTAAGCATTTTGCTTTCTTTGATAGGCAATTATATTCAGTATGAGTTCTTTGTTTACCAGTTATTTGATTGTGATCTCTGTTTTTTCTTTTAAATCTGATGATGAATACGAGAAGTATTCGAAACGTTATGCATTTTAAAGTAAAGAATCTGAAACAAGATGTTCAGTATATCCCTGGTTTTCCTATTCATCTTAATATATATATATATATATATATATATATATATATATATATATATATATATATATATATATATATATATATATATATATATATATGCGAACAAGCCTGAATGGTCCCCAGGACTATATGCAACTGAAAACTCACACCCCAGAAGTGACTCAAACCCATACTGCCAGGAGCACTCTGCTGGCGTACAGGATCCCTTAACCGCTCGACCAATACTACCGGACAAAAGAGGATGGTAGCCGAGGCTATTTCCATCCCCCCCGCCGGCACTCGGTTGGTAATCTTGGGCATGGTATTTTATCAAATCCTCATTCTTTGGGGCACATTATCAAATTATCATTCTTTGGGGCACACGTGAGGAACTCAAATGCGAACAAGCCTGAATGGTCCCCAGGACTATGTGCAACTAAAAACTCACACCCCCAGAAGGGACTCAAACCTATAGTGCCAGGAGCACTCTGCTGGCATACAGGATCCGTTAACCGCTCGACCAACACGACCGGACAAAAGAGGATGGTAGCCGAGGGGACGACGGTTGTGATGCACCTGTTGAGCTTGACAAGATTCAAGCTCAACAGGGTCTTCTTTCCCCGCTGTTATATATATATATATATATACATATATATATATATATATATATATATATATATATATATATATATATATATATATATATATATATATATATATATATAAAATGTCGTACCTAGTAGCCAGAACGCACTTCTCGGCCTACTAAGCAAGGCCCGATTTGCCTAATAGCCTGAATAGTTTTTGCCTTATTTTAGTACACGCACTCATACATGTACATCCTTTCCTTATAAGGGGATGGACATTAACCAGATAATACTTTCATTATTATTAACGTCTGTCGCTCTATGCCTCTGCTAGTTGAATATTCACTGTTAAGATCATTTAGTAAATACTTTTGCTTTTTCTTGTGAAAACTATTTTTTTGTCCATTTTGCACCTGTTATAAACGTTGATTTAAATAGAATACTTTAACCTTTGCAGCTTACCATGATCAAAAGTTCAGCTCAGGTGGACGACGATGCTAAAAACAGGAGATGGAACACCACTTGACTTGTAAAGGATCAGACACCAATATATAGGCTCGGAAATTAATTAATTTCAAGGACTCACGATTCAGATGTATGAAAACACATGGACTCCGTGACCAATATGACAACAAAGAGATCGTGCAGGAGTTATCTAAAGCTTATTATTCTCAAATGCATTGTTTCTGTTATATATATACTGACCCTGATTTACATTTTGTAGTGTCTTTTCATGCGGGCTGTGATAATAGAGCAGTATGCATACTAAATATTTATCCTAACAATTCACGATATTTAAAAATCCCAAAGTTTTTCATTTTTTAACCTACTTTTTCAGTCAATTAATTTAATTAATTAAGGCAAAAACACATCCTTTGTCGTTCATCAGAGTACAACACATATTGGTTCATGTATGTTTAATTGCTATTTATTGGAGAACATTTTTTTCAATTACATTTATTCATCATATTTGGGTTTTCTCTATACCTGAACAAAATTAATAGTTTCCCTCAGATTCTCCCACATATTCAACAAATCAAAATATTAATAAATATAGACAGAGTTGCCTATTAAGCCGAATTTTCCTGAAATATTTAATTTTGCCAAACCTTTTTCTCATGAAATAATTTATATCCATTGCATTGTATGATTGCAATTTTATGTTATTTGAGTCAAAACTAACATAAATTTTGAAACCTAATCTTACCTGGAGCCGGCGGCTGAGCGGACAGAACACTGGGCGCATGATCCTGTGGTCCTAGGTTCGATACCGGGCGCCAGCGAGAAACAATAGTCAGAGTTTTATTTCACTCTGATGCACCTGTTACCTTACTATAAATAGGTACATGGGAGTTAGTCAGCTGTCACGGGCTGCTTCCTGGGGGTGAAGGCCTGGTCGAGGACCGGGCCGCGGGGACACTAAAGCCCCGAAATCATCTCAAGATATAACCTATTCAAACAAATGCTAGCCTATCCTAACCAAACATAACCTAATAAACTAAGTAATTCATGTTCCTAATAATACAGTATGAATGTTAGAAAAGAACCAATCTGGAAAGAACTTTCCTTATACTTATAACTTATATTTAGTTAAGAGCCGACCCATCCATTCATATAACAAAGGCTGATAAATCCAGCACTATTGTTATTTTAAACAAGGAGGAATATATTTCGAAAATGAATGATCTCCTCCTAGATTTTTCAACGTACACTAAACTCAGGAAAAATCCTCTTGAGGACATCATCAAGTTCTTCAATAGCAGCTTGAGGAAGTTGTTAAGTAAACATAAAGATTTTCTTAATCAATTTACTACCTCATCACCTTCATTACCATATCTATATGGACTTGTTAAGACGCATAAACCTAACAATCCCATGAGACCTATCATCAGTTCCGTGGGATCCATTTCTTACAAGCTCTCCAAATGGCTTACCAAAATCTTGTCCCCATTGTTAGGAATTATTTCCTCTTCTCATTTGACAAATTCTCTTGAATTAGTTAACAAATTGAATAGTGTTCCTGTCACTCCTGATTTAAAGTTAATCAGTTTTGACTTTTGTTCTTTGTTTACAAGGTACCGGTTGATGATATTCTCGATTATCTTGCTCGTGAACTAATGAACCATGTTTTACCTCTTTCTGCTTATATTATTGTCAATCTTGTTAAGTTGTGCATTAAAGAATGAAAATTTACCTTTAATAATGAGTATTATTTACAGACTTTTGGAATGGCAATGGGGAATCCTTTATCGCCATTGCTTTCAAACTTTTACATGGAATTCTTCGAAAAGAAATTTGTTTCAAAAATAACTCCTGGAATCATTCCATGGTTTTAGATATGTTGATGATATTTTGTGTATATAGCCTTCAGATGTAAACACAGACGAATGTGTAGCCAAACTTAATGACCAAGTCACCTCTATAAAATTTACTATGGAGACTGAAATTGATAAATGTTTGCCGTTCTTAGATGTTCTTATTCATAGGGAAGATTCTTCACTAAAGTTTAGTGTTTACAGAAAACCTACGAAAAATTTATCTTATGTTCATTATTTTTCAGGGCATAGATACAATGTGAAAAAGTCAATTTTTTCTTCAATTTATCTAAGAACTCTTCGAGTTGTGAGTCCAGAATTCTTAGACGAAGAGTTTAAGAATATTGATTCGATTGGTCTCAAGCTTTGTTACCCACTGAGTTTTTTGGAAGTTTGCCGTAACAAAGCACGTCGTACATATTATAATAATATATGCAGTGAAAGAATTCGCCCAAAGAATGTGTTATGTTTACCATATTTCTCTGGGTTTGAGAATATTGTCAAGGCCTTGAAACTTTTTAATATACATGTAATGTTTAGCTACGAAAATACTGTTGGTAAGCTATTAGTTAGGAACAGCCCTCGTAGTGATAATTGTGTCATTTATAAAATAACTTGTAAAGACTGTAATAAGCTCTATGTTGGGCAAACATCTAAAAATTTGAAATGTAGAATTTCGCAACATAAATACTCTGTAAGACATGGCCAATTGTCACAAGTTGACTTGCTTATAACCACAAGTTGAAGTATATAACTTTTTAGACACCACTCAACCCACCAAGGGACTCGAACACTGGCTATCAAGGTGGCAGTTACGCACTGTATCCACTACACCATACTTCAGAGCCCTTAAAGAGGTAGGAATTCTAGGGTATTTAACCAACCAGAACTCCATTCCTCACCAGGCAATGAGATAGTGAGGGACCTCTCGTGTTCTTTCACCAAGCCCTGTTATGTGGGAGAACTCAGTGCCAAATGCTTAATTAAAGCTTATAATCACAAGTTGAAGTATATAACTTTTTAGACACTTCTATTCTAATAGTGCTATTGCTTCTAGTAGGGTTTCTATTCTAGTAGGGCTTTTGCATTTTAGTGCTTTTGCATCTTAGTTTAATTGGAAGAGGATTTCTCCAAAAGTCATCGTCGTTTGTGGTGAAGGAAAATAAATAAATAACTGTTGAATATATTACTTGTAATATAAATTTACTCAACGTTTAGAACCTACATGGTTCATTCTCAAGTGATGGAACAGAACAGGGCATATTGGATTTATTCAGTTAGCGAGGTCAGGTGCAGGTAAATGCAAATAGGTGAAGAGTAAGGTGTAAAGGAATGAAAAGTAAGGCCTCTAAGTGGAAAGAATTAGCAGAAAAAACGTTACAAAGTACATACAAAGATTAATCAGGTGTAGTGGATGTGGCATATTGAGCAGTGTTTTCTATGTTGGCATCTTCATGTTCCAGTCTTGTTCTTACTCTCATGGTGGGTAGAGTCAACAGTTCCGTAATTTGTGTATTAATTGTGGGTTTTTCTATTTTTATGTGGATTGCTTCAAGAGTTTGTAATCTTGTTACATCTTAAGGTTTTGTCTATTACACAAGTGCTTTTATTCAACATTTCTCTTGTTATGGTGATGTTATGGTCTTGTCGCATATGATTTTTCTGAGCACCTGATAGAAGATGACAGGTCAAGTGCCTCGTCAGCTTGGTCGACGTCATACCTATGTACTTAGATTTGAAGGCTACATCCTTCGTAGGGGCAGGTGTATATATATACTACGTTTCACTGCTGTAAAGGGTTCAACGTCGGCTTCAAGCTGTTATTAATAAGGAGGTCGGCAGTCTTCTTTGTTTTATACAATATGATTAGGTCTATATTTTGGTTAAGAGTAGTGTTTTTTACTCCTTTACGGATTATTTATATCATAATTCTTTCTTCTTTTTTTTGTTCACTGAACATGGTTGATTTGTAACATAATTTTATTGGAGGTGTTGTGGTTTTTGTTCTAGGTTCAGGATTATACCATCGATCCAGGTGTCGTCTTAGAGTAATGTTTATTTCTGTGTTGCTATAACTATTGTTTACTAACACTTGAGTTATTCTTTCAAACTCCCTACTCATGTTGCTTCATTCAGAGCAGTGGGAAATGGTTCGACGATTATAAGCGCTGAGTACACTGGCTTTGTATCTTTGGGGGTACTCACTCCTACCATTCAGGCATAATCCTATGTTTGTAGGCTTATATATATATATATATATATATATATATATATATATATATATATATATATATATATATATATATAGTGTTACGGGAATTTCTTTTATCGTGTTACTGCGTCGCATCAGAGTATAAGTAGTGGTACTTAAGAGTAATGCTTTCTTACTAAATGTTACACGGGGAACGACTTTAACAACCATGCAGGTTGTTAATGACCAACACGGCGTGGCTCGTCCGGTGGCGGGAATTCTGATGGCCAATCAGAACCACCGGGCGAGGCAATGAGTACAGGTTAGAACATGGGCAGGGCAGTACTCTACACTCTTCCACCCTGTCGACATGGCCTAGTTGTGTGACCAGCCGTATGGCGAAATTATGACGAGGATCCACTCTCTTCTGAAATACGACCAGTGGAAGATGGTGACTGTCAACGCCGTAGGGAGTGTTAGAAATCTACCGTCGACATCAGGATAATAATATTGAGCCACGAGAAGGTAGAAAAGTTTTACACACCATTGCGTTACCTATATATATATATATCGTCGTGTCAGTGTAGTTGGCTGAGGGTCTCATGAACTGTTTTGCTATTACGTAGTGGATACAGGCAAGAGAAGAAAAAGGATTCGGAAGAGAACCATTATTACTGCTGAGTAACGCTACTCTCTTTGCTGTTGTCTCAGTGTAAATATAACTGTACATCTAATGTACAGTGTCCAGTAATTTGTATATATATAACTCGACATATAAGGTACCTACGTTTTTAGGTAATATAGATAAATATCCATGATAGAATTTTACCTAAATTTTATTTTGTCCCTAGTCAGGGCTCAGTTATGTACGTGTGTCGCACCTGACAACAGGTCAGGTTGAGAAGGACAAAACCTAACTAAGTCGGAGGTGACTACATTTGGATAATATCAGATTTATCTATAAACTGTAGTTATCAGAGTAACTATACACTAGAAAAGACTAAATTAAATGTTTGGCTATGTAATCGACAGTTCGATCCCAACAATATATGTATATTGT